CTGGGGGCAGGAGAGGCGGGCGACCGGAAACACAGCAGAACCACAGAAACACACTCATTAGCATCATTATGCTAATTATTAGCATTGGATGATTTAAAATGACACCATTGACGAAATAATTATAAATAATTAAAGGAACAATCTGCTCAAAATGATATAAATTTCAGATCTGTAAGTCAAGCACTTCACTGAACCTCCACACAACAAACTAAAACTAGGAATCTCATGTTCAAGGTTTTTCAGACTGGAAATCAACAGTTTGCCTGTTAATAACATACTTTACATTCAAATGACATTTCACAGATTTTTGGCACGCTTGGCCTTCCATACTCAAGCACAATGAGTCAGATGTGTTTTTTATTATCAGATGTAAACTCTCAACACAACAACTGATTGTTAAGGTGGATATATGAGCTCACAGCGTCTCCGGTTCAGATTCTAGATCTGAATTAACAGAACAAGAATTTCTTCTTTATGAAGTTTTTATTCAAAATAAACCAATATTTGCATTGCACTTATTTATCTAAAACAAACCAAAAAAAAAAAAAAAGACTGGAAGTTTGAATTTATCATTACAAGCATTGAAATCACAACAATATCCAAACTTTCTCCAGGTTTTTCAGCTAAACGTCTCTTAGCATCACTTGGACCGCTGCGAGAATCATTTCAAGGCCTCTAAATGGCCTCTGGGCCACATGTTGGACACCATCCTGAATGTTTTCTTTGTTCTTCCAGACTTTGGCAAAGCTAATTTTTCATCAAACCACCACAAAGTCATGCTGTATCTCATTAATACCTATTGATGCATATTTTACACACACTAATAAGTTCACTGGAAGCTCTTCCATTGATTGAGTGATTGATTGAAACCTCTTTGAAAAAATTGAAAAAAAGCTCAGTCTGTCTTTGATTTCACTGCTGAGTCTTCAGAGTCAAAACAAAATTTCTGGTCAGAAAAATGTTCTCACTGACTTGGAACTAATTTTCAAATTAAATCACAAATGGGTTTGCTATACAATGCAGGACAGCGAGTAGCTTTTAAAACCTCACATTCACAACATTTATTAACATAATAAATAAATGGTATCCTACAGTATTATTTATTAACAATAATAATACACACACACACATTGTCCCGCTAATTAAGCACAGTATTATTTATTAACATAAATAATACTGTAGGATACTGCACTGTAAAATGTTGCTTAATAACATAAAATAAAAAAAATATTTCTGTTTTCGGTACGGCTGTAAATCTGCTGCTCAAACTTCAACGCCTTCTCTGGTCCACTAGATTTTCATTTCTGATTCAAAAATCGATCCGACTGTCGCTGGAAAAGATTATTGTTGTGTTTGAGTTGTGCTAAAAGAAGTTAGCCTATCAGTGAAGCTACGATAGCCTAAACTAGCATCTGAATGCTAAGCAGGTAGCAGCTAATGCTAATGTCAGCCTCCACATTTGTAAATGAATGATCAGGACTTCCTGCAACTGTGGAAAAGCTTTAGTAGCATCATTTATTCAATAACTTATCAATTCTTATTTTGTTTATAAACTGCAAAAACACAAAATCTGACCAAATATTTTTATTTTAGGTTCTAATCTAAATATCTTAATACACTTAAAATAAGAAAAAATAAACTTGTTTGTAATTTTTCAGGAAGAAATTTGAGCTTCTTTTCAGTAAACACTTTCTTAAAATTTATGTAAAAAATAAAATTAAAAAAAGTGTCATTCCAACTAAAAATACTTGATAAGATTTGCAGAATACATGATTCTTTCCAATCAATTTTGATTCATTGATTAATTACAGACCTTGAAATAAACTGGATTAAAAGTTATTGGAGAACTTACTGCAGGTTAAACCTCCATTCTAGCTCCGTACTCCTGGTACAGTTTCAGGTCTGTGTGAATATCTGGACCGGATCAGAAACAAACCGAAATAAACCCAGAAAGAGTTTTCAGGCCGATCCTACCTGGACCCAGCAGAACCATGATGTTCACCTCCCGACTCAAACCGACTGCGACTCTGAGCCGCGGCTCTGTTTACGCCTCACAGCGCTCCCTCTGTCCCCACACACACACACACACACACACACACACACACACACACACACACACACACACACACACACACACACACACACACACACACACACACATTGTCCCGCTAATTAAGTTCAGTGATTTCTGCAGCAACAAGTGGCATCTGGGCCGATTCAGGCAGAGACGGGTTTTCTTTTTTCATTCAAAGTGGCGCAGAAAGTTTGTTGGAGGTGAAAAAGAAGCCGCCTCTCCCTCCGCCCGTAAATAGACTCCTCTGACATGTTTTTTTCCCAGCTCCTCGTTAAGTAATTAGCGTGTGGTGTGTTTTAGGCGGAGGAGTGTGTTTAGACTCCGGGCGCGGAGGAGGGAGGGTGTTTTCTCTTTCTCTCTCCTCCTGATCTGAATTCTCATCAGCGAACCTGAAAAAGTTAGTGCAGACTTTTCTCATGCTAAGCAGGGCCTAAGTAGGCCAATTACAGGGCTGCCCTCGGCCCGGGGCCCTAAAACAAAAGGGCCCTTGTCTTAAATAAAGTCAGCCAGACACAAAGGCGCACAGTCAGGCAGTGTTCCCGCCGCCCCGGTGGGCTCGCTGCGCGCCCGCCATCGGGGCTAAAAGGAGGTTCCCACTAAAACAAAAAGGGTCTCGGTGATTGTGTCGCCTTTCTTTCTTTTCTCCTGCAGAAAAGCCCGAGCGTCAAGCCAGGTCTCCACAGCAACTAGACGGGGTCGCCGAGGCGGGAGGTCGCCCGTCTGGCGCGACTCGTTACCTGCACTGCATGCTTCTAGATCGGAAACACAGCAGCAGCTCGAAAACACGGCATCGGCCCTGGCGAGGCACGGTGGAGGCTGCGTCATGATGTGGGGAAGTCCAGAACAATTCTGGAGGAAAATCAGTGACTCAGAGGTCATTGGTTTTAAGACAAGAAGCGCACTGCAAAAACACAAAACCTTTCACTGGATTGTCGTTTACTTCCTTCCAATAAAACCAAAGTAACGTCAGCAAAACACAGAAGCTTGTTTTATATTAATGACACCTTAATATGGAGTTTAAAAAGCACCACATCCTTTTATAAGAAGACATTTTACCAAGTTAGAAGTGAAATAATCTGTCAGTTGAAATAACATTTTTAAAATCAATTTTAAGTTTTGTCTGAAAGAAGCTTAAATCTTTGCTGAAAAGTTTTCTAGTTTTTTCTGTCAAATGTACTAAATATTTACACTAGAAACAAAAACAATCATTTTCTGTCCTACCATCACAAACATAAAAAGGCGTTCTGCTACAAGCTAATGAGGAATGTTTTATCCACATGGAAATGTTTCTGTTTTAAAAACGTTTTTTACTTATTTAGAAGGAAATGAAGAGTCTGAATGTCAGGCTGAAGAGCTGAAATTGGTTCTTGTTCGTTAGCATCCTGCAATTATTTTAGGCGATTAGCAGGTCAGTGTTAGCTTTAATTAATTTTTCTAATAGCTAATAGCTGAATGTTAGCTTATTCTATTTTAAAAAATGAATTTAACAGTTTAGCAATAGCTTCAGTATTTTATGTTTTCAGCAGATCAGATGAAAATATTAGCTTCTGTTAATGTTGAATGATAATAGCAGCGCAGCAAGAGCTTCAGTTAAATATTTCATGTTAGTTTCTGTAATTTTTTGTGTTTAGCGCTTTAGCATATCCTATTATTCTTGTGTAACTTTAGCTGTGCTCACCACTGACAACAAGAACTGCTGATTTTAGTAGAAACATATTATTCTCCAGGTCAAAAATGGCGGCCATTTTGAAAAGTGTCCAATAGCAAAAGATCAACATGTTTGATTTTTAAGGTTGAAAATATGTAAGCACGTTCATCTAATTGGTGATGTTAGATCTTCTTTTCATGAAAAATCAAATATTGAATATTTTTGTTGTGTATCAATGCTAATAATTGTAACATTAATGTAAGGTGTCAGTTTTTGTATGTTGTAGTTTTACAGTGTCCAGTAAATCTCAGGACAACAAGACACTTCCTGGTGTTTACTGGAGGACTGTTAGCTGTTAGCCCAGCTAGCGCTTTGCCCTGTGAGCGGAATCAAAGCATTTCTCCATTTTTCATGTTTTTTCCAAAGTTTTTGTGAATTAAAATTTTTTATTGACCAGAAAACCTCCACAGCTTCTCGGTCTCGGCTGGTTTTCTCTGTGCAGCAGCAGCAGCCTCCGGGTCCGACTCCCTCAGGAGTGTGTGTGTGTGTGTGTGTGTGTGTGTGTGTGTGTGTGTGTGTGTGTGTGTGTGTGTGTGTGTGTGTGTGTGTGTGTGAGAGTGTGTGTGTGTGTGAGTGTGTGTGTGTGTGTGTGAGTGTGTGAGTGTGTGTGGGTGTGTGTGTGAGTGTGTGAGTGTGTGTGTGGGTGTGTGTGTGTGTGAATGTGTGTGTCTCTGTGTGTGTGTGTGTGGGTGTGTGTGTGTGTGCGTGTGTCAGCTGGCGTACAGGTGCGCCGCTGCCTCGCCAGCACTTCCTGGTAATTAATGACTCCTTCCTGCCTCGTGCCTCCCTCCCTCCTCGCGTCTCTCACGCTGGAAATTGATGACACGTGAGCGCGAGGGCGGAGGAGGCGGTCGCTGCGGTAACGCTGCTTGTGTCGGACTCAGGCAGCCATCCATCATGGCGGCTTCGTTCGTATCTGCATGCGTTTATTTTTGCGCGTCAAGCGATCCGGTGGCGTGTCCGTCCGATTGGTTGTGTGCGCGGCGCGTCTCCGCCTCGCTCTCTGGTGATCCGTCTTGGTTATTATGGTCTGTATGAGCAGCTGGGACCCGGGCGGCGACGGGTTTCAGTGGCAACGGAACGACGGATGGGGAGCTCAACAAGCAGAGGCGGGTTCATTAAGATGTCCACTTATTTCTAACAAGAAGATTGGATTTGATTGGTTCTGGCTGAGGCTGGCTGGCCAATCAGAGAGCTCGGATCCAACAGGGTCACTTC